GTATGTAATGTATTCTTATAAATATTTTAAAGCTAACCCTCATTTAATATTTACGTTTTTCACACAACAATTCCCTTATAACGAACACTTAATGTAAATTTAGATTGTATAATTTTATTTTCTACAACAATCATTAACCTTAACACTCATTTTAAATAACATTTATAAGTTATAAACTTCAGTTTACGCAACTATAAATAGTATATTAACCTTAAACAAATTAGAGCTAAAACATTTGCGGAAACGCAAACAAATTCGGTTCTGGCACACGCCGGCCGCTGCCGTGACACGCTCGCTTCGCTCGATCGGCTCGTGCTGCTTTTTCATATATTAACCTAGCCTAACCTACTAAAGGTGGTGCACATTACCTACAGGTAAATAAATACAAAATTAACTAAATTGACAATATATAAAACGATTGCTCTATAAAAAGATATATAATAATAAATAAATAAATAAAATATAATAAATAAATAAAATTGCTCTATAAAAAGATAGATAATCTATTTATAAAATGTGAATGTTATTACAAATGACAATTGTATGAAATTAAGTTATCGGAAGTGTGCATAATTATGTAGTTCAACTGAAAATTAGGTCTAATGAGCGTTATATCTATTAAAATTAGTTTATTTGATTTTCACACAAATGAGGCACACCACCACTAGAATTAGATATGGCTTTTCACAAAAAACGTTCGTAAGAAAGCGTCTCTGATTCGCATTTGAAGTATGATTATTGTCCCCAGAAGGCGACGCCCCCGAACAGCTAATGCCGGCAGAAATGTACGTGCCCAATCAGAAGCAGTGGTTAACTCTGCGCGCGAGCAAACTCAAAGGACCTGTTGCGTTTTCGCTTTGCTGTATTGTTATGACTTAGGTTGTGTATTAAAATGTAATAAAGTATATTTTACTCCCAGTTATTCTTTTTTTCGTTCATATTACAAATAACTTAAAAATAATAAAAAATTCTAACGCGGGAAATACACATTTGCAAAGATTGCAGCGCCATCTAGCCGCTAATAAAGACAATACTGTTACAATATTTTTTTCTTTTTCAAGGCACGAACTCTTCATTATTTCTCTTTCGGTAAAAACTAGAATTTTTCTGAATAAAAGTTGGAATTTGGGTTAATCAAACGTTCTGCTACAGTTATTTTGTACACCGTGGGGACGGTATCTGCACCATCGATCATTTCTTGTACACTTTTGTCAATAATAATGGTCATAATCTTATTGTTGCAGTTCGATAGAATTACTGGGAATCGTGATTCCATTTTTTCTGTTAACAGAACAAATGATATTTACGTTACTATTCCCAGTAGACGAATTACTAGTAATTCTGTCCTTGTTCACATTGTTGTGCGGTGTTACCCATAACAACATTTTGATGCCCAGACTTTTGTTAACAGATTTAACTTAGGTCATTCCGTCCGTTCTCGCGTAATTTCTTTATTATCGTATTTTTAACTGACTTAAAAAAAGGAGGAGGTTATACGTTCGGCTGTATGTATGTTTTCAGATTTCACCGTCAATTGTAGACCGTTTTTGGATTTTTTTTTGTTTGATAGGGTGCGTTCTCGTGGTGGTCCCATTGTCACCAAGTCAGGATTTGATGAGCGATCCATGGAAATCGAGGGAAATCCTCAAATTTTAAAGACATGTACACTGCCATACCGATTTCTCCATGAATTGTGGACCGACTTGAAAATTATTTTTTTGTTTGAAAGGGTATATATCTCGACGTGGTCCCTGATATAATGCTGTTCCGAGTTCGTTTCGGCTATCACATATTAAAAAATATTTTCCACAAATAAAAGTCGACTTTTCACTTGACACAATACATGTTCGTATCATCAACAAATCACTGTCACCATGACAACCAGAAAAAAAAGTATAAAATGTACAAAGGAGTCCGTAACACTCATTGTCACCAAGAAGTCAGAATCTCACGAGGGGGTCCTATGGAAATCGGAAAAAGCCGCCAAGCAAACTTTTGAAGCGGTTTTCTTTTCAATGAAGTTTCAATTATTTGCAACAGATTCTGGTATCTAGCCTTTAGACCGATGATTCTCAGTGGTATATATTGACCTCCAGGATCCACTTCCAGTCACAACTGGTCCATGTTATTGAAAACTTTGGGGTGCATGAGACGTTAACGTTGTGACCAAAATTTTGACTTTCCATAAATGGAATAACCACATTACACAGAATAGTACCTGTGTAACTAAATACGTAATACTATTTCTGACTATTGATAGCTGTAAAACGTACATTTGAAGTTGATGAATTTGTAAAAAAATCAAAGTGGTTTAGGCAAAACAGAAAAATGGCACGTGGTCTACCAGATAAAAAATTCGGGAACTTGTCCTTTAAATTATAATTGAACGAATGTTTTTTCCATCTAAATTAGGATAATGAAACGAAAAACCAGTTCACGTTTAAATTATTTTATGATTTTTTATTAAATCAAGACAATGATGTCCATTTTTCATAGGTAATAAACTTCTCGACGCCTCCTACGTAAAGTATCGTATGTCGAAATTGCCAAGTTTACAGGGGAGTGTTTTAAAGTTCTCCGTTTCATTTGGCAAAGCTTGTTACTCACATAGAGTGATCATCTAATAGATCATCTAACCGATATCTAGGATTTTATAATACTCAACGTGTGTTACGAGATTTGTCGAAAAAAAGTGAGAAATCTAAAGTCACGTGTTATGCTTATTTCAGTGAATTCAGAACTTTAAAAGACTCCCCTGTAAACTTGGCAATTTTGACATACGATACTTTACGTGGGAGGGGTCGTTCTAAGAACAATACTTAGGCTTAGAATTTAAATACATACTCAGCTTATACTAGATAGAGAATTAACTATTGATTCATGGTGTATTAAACAAGATTACTGTCAAACATCACAAATTTAAAAACAATGTCATTGTAATGATATCTATTGAATATAATAAATACATTATGAAAATAAATTCACGAGCAATAAGGAAGTTAAGTCAATTGAGTCTATAGCAATGTCCAAAATAACTTTAGTAAATATTGAAGTTATGATCCTAGATTTAACATAACGTTGTGAACAACTTATAAATGTACTGTATAGAGTTTTAAAATTTCATATTTACAAAAAAAAATTGCGTCTTATGCCATAGAATAATAAGACAAGTAAAACAACTCCCGCCTGTTTGGCGCATTAATAAACATGTCGCTCGGAGCGTAGGGTTGTCACCAGAGATGGGTAAGGACCCAGTTCTAAGCTAGTGCTTTGTTATTGCCGGATTTAAACTTGGTTAAAACCCATTATAGCCCAAAATCGAGGGCAAACACTATTTACAACTAAATATTTGCTGTAAATCGAGTTTTGTTCAAACTTAATGATATTAATTATTAATACAAAGATCGAACAGTCTGAAAAAGTTCCTTCAATCCGGCCGGATTCGAACCGACGTCTACCAACTAAGCAACGGAACGAACCAGCGGACCTTACGTATTTTTCTATGTGCTTGCGTCGTATTTTTGTATTTGATTTTTTCAACGACTTTTTAGCCGTAGCGCCATCTATGAGAAATCTATGATATTTCGATACCTTTATAGCTACCAGCCCCGGCTAGAGATGTCGCTATTCATTGTATTTTAAATTTTTATTGAATTTATATTCAATTATTTTTATGTGAAATCACTCCACTAGTTTGTTATAAGTATTAATCAAAGATAGAACACTCTGAAAAAATCTATAGAAATATCAATTCAATAAAAATTTATAATTTAATGATATTATTACAAAATGTCAATTGATTTCTGATCTAGACGATTCTATTTGTCTTTCTGTTGAATTAGTTTGCTTGAAAATTGCATTTAAATATATCGATACAAAAAATCATTAGATCGTACGCGCTTGAATCGATTTTCTTCATCAATCAATCATCCTTTGTAGTGAGAATCCACAGGATTGCAAGGTTAGGTATTGTTAGAGCGCAGGGCGTTGTCGGTTCGAAGCAACATGTTGGCTCATAGATTCACAAGGTGTACGACAGAAGTGAAGCTCACACTCTTTAGAGCATACTGCCAGAGCTTCTACACATATGCTCTATGGTTCAACTTGATGCTGAGATCGTACGGCGCCTTGCGAGTCCTGTATAATAACCATCTGGAACTTGTTGAAGCTTCCCCGTTTCTGGCATGGATGATTTCTATGCCATCATGCGCAAAATGTCTACTTCGTTAGTGCGACGGGTGAGGGGTAGCAGCAACGAGATCCTGAAGATAATAGCAGACAGGATGGATGCTGCTGTGTTTCGGAGGTTCACTGAGTTGCGTGTTTTACGTGTGAGTCAGTGAACCACCTGGGGGGCTGGGTTCGTCCTTGTTTGTTATGTTTGTAACTAATTATTAATATTATTAGGTAATATTTTTGTGTTACTAACTTGAATGAACTACATTGTCTGAAATAAATTATTTTTATTTCACTTTTATTATTTATATTTATTGTGTAGAGAGAAAAGAGGCAATCTTTATAGTCTAAAAAAGATTTTTTACGTCGCCATTTGTATAGAATAATTCCGTATTCGCCGTTTCCGCTCATGATTTTGGGCAGAAATGCATTAAACCTGGCTTTGGATAAAAAACCGGGCGGTTTGATTGGGTTTTAACCCACTGCCCATCTCTGGTGATAATCATTCAGTGAATAACCACGAGTCTTAAAATCTAAATTTCTTACCTAACCCTAATCGTCCTCGGAATCTGACTTTTTACATTTCTCCTTTAACTTTTCATACTCATTCCTTTTTATGAGATCTTCCTTCAACCTCTCCATGTCACTTAGAAGACTGCTTACTTGTACGTTTTGCAATTTGTCGTTCACTGTTGTGTCACTATCTAACCCTGAATCCTCATCAGACTTTGTTCCGGCACTCACAGCCTCTTCGTCAGAGACTAGGTGTAGACTCTCGTCGGAACTCGACGTGTCGTCTTTGTCTAGCCTGTACGCTTTAGGCACTCTGTCTTCTAGTTTGGACCGTTTGTCTTTGTCTTTTGTGTGGGGGCTGTCACGGCCTGTTCGTCTGTTCTTTTTCTTCATGCTTTTCGCTATTACGCGTTTTTGGTGGTCCAATTGGGGGAATAGTTCTGGAATTTAAAAATTTTAATTTTTAAATATTGATTTTTTAATTTAACTTTCTTTGGCTTATAATTTATATAAATAAATTTCATGCTTATTATAAGTATGTGTGCATTCAAGAAATATTATTTGTGCAATATTTTATCTTTGTTATGATTAATACAAAGATCGAACATAGGTACAGAAAAATTTCTTCAACACAGTGGGACTTGAACCCTGGACCATGCTGCACCGTAGCATTGCTCTTACCAATTGAGCCATAGGTCCAGTCCGAGCTGTCGAAATTCTCCTATGTGTTTTTGTTATAGATCTATGTACTGGCTTTCGGCATTCGTCGCCTCTAGTGATATCTAGTGAGAGATCGTGAAAACACTCCTTCAGTTTGTTGTTATTATTAATACAAAGATCGGACAAACACAAAGAAAAATTCTGTTGTCTCACCGCGACTACTGCTCTTACCAACTCAATCTGTAGTTTAGTCATTTAATCGATGCCTCTGTCGCTGAATATCATATTCGCAAAATATCATGTTCGCAAAACATGATATGCGCAAGACATCACGTTCACAAAATATCATATTCGCAAGATACCACATTCGCAAAATATCATATGTGCGATTTACACCATTCTGTACTGTTGGGAACAAAATACAAAATCACAATTTATAAATTATTCATTTTATTACATAGAATGCGGTCTTCTCTTGCGAATATGATATTTTGTGAACGTGATGTCTTGCGAATATCATGTTTTGCAAATATGATATTCAGAGACAGACTCGACGAGAGGCCTTTCGATTTATCAATCTCTGTACCAATAATATGTGACGAACCGCGCGATTTAGTGCTTGCACGGCGTTTTACATATATTTAGAACGTAGTAAGCTCGTTTGGTATAATGACACTACTGAGTGCTAGAGTAAAGTGACGTGCAATAAGCCTCGTAACATAAATCATAATGTGCAAAGAACTTGTATGTCACAGCACAATTGCGACATGATAATATGCATTAGTATGTGATGATACTGACCGTGAGCGCTGTTGAGGGCTTCCTCTGCCGCGTTCATTTCCGCCTCCTGTATGGAGTGCCCTCTAGCGGCAGCCAGCCGCGCGCCGCGGAAGTACACGCCCACTGTGTACACGCGAGTGTTCGTCGGACCAAGACACTCGATCACCCTGAGAATAAAGCCTAGTTCAAATATAAACTACAAATAAGAAAATTAAATTTGACAAGGAACATCGGCTATGTCATCAGCAACAATCAGGTGAGATTATATTGAAATGCTTGCCTACACAGGCGATGCTTTTTAAATTACTAGTTATATGGGTGGCACCTCTGATGATAATGAATGATATTGACTGCCTTTGTGACCGAATGGTTACCATGCTGGACTGCCACGTAGAGGTCCCAGGTTCGACTCCCGGGCCGAGGGAAATTTATACGGCCTACACTTATTTCTCTCGTGAGTTTGGGTGTAATTTGTGGTTGTCTATGTGCGTGTCCATGGCACCCACAATACAGGGTTTCCCTAGTTCAGGGCTATGAGTGTGTGCGCGGTATTATACTTGCTAGGTTTTTTACGTTCTGGAAGGACGTAAAAAAAACCTAAAAAGTATCAAATAAGACAATATTACCCTATATGCAATATGTAAAAGTATTGGGTTGGTCAAAAAGCCCATGCGGTATCTAAGTGTATAAATGAAAAACATAAATATAACTAATAAATTATGTTCTAGTCAAGGTGATCTGCAATCTTTTGTCATCTTTCTGGTAATTTTAGTTTTCCTCTTTCATAATTTCTGTCTTTACTTATAAAATGCAAGTCTAAGTGTTGTTTGATGGTCTCTTCGTTATCAAAGTTGTAGGGTGACTACATTAAGATAAATATAATTATATTATCGTTAATTATATAAGTGTATATTTCTACTTACTGTTTATATTTATATACATACCATTAAAATATTGCTGTTGAATGTGCTATATAAATTATTTATCTTACACATTAAACAGCAATATTTTAATGGTATGTATATAAATATAAACAGCAAGTAGAAATATACACTTATTTATATATATGTATATTTATCTTAATTAATGTAGTCACCCTACAAAGTTATATCATGTTCATTCAAAGAATTTTTAAAGACCGAAACAAAACTGAAGGGGCCATGTCGGGCAAATACGGTGAATTAGGTAACACATCAAGACCTAACTGCAATAGCTTTACACGGTAAAGGTGTGAGTGGTTTGTCAATATCATGAAGAAATACGACACCATTTACGAGTCACCATCTGGGCATTTTTTATAAATTATGAACTCAAAACTTTTCCCAACTATTATTAAAATGGGCGCTAAAATTTTATTTTTAATATGGCCATAGATAATATAACATTTTAAAAGAAAAAGTTTTTTTTTATTTAAGAGTCCAAAGCACCTCAGGTCGAATTCAAATTTTTCCCGTACTAATACGGTTCACTTCGCTTGGGTCGAGCGGCAGGGATACAGGCTTTACTTTTTTTAAAAACGAAATTGAAATTTGAAATATGTATACTATACGTGTTCTATTTAGTTCAGTTGATATAAAAAAAAATCATTGGTTTATGTAAAGTACCTATTTAATACAGCAGTTTTCTTGTAAGATTTCGAGAAGTTTGTCATTATTTTATATCGTGAAAATTTTTACGAATCGTGTTTTCACGCCGTATAGGAAATCTTGTATATCTTCAATGTTACTATATATTTTTTCCAACGTGATTGATTCAACAGTTTCACTGCTATGTGGAATCAACGAAAGCCATTCGAGGTTGTATAGACTTTTAAATGTAGCTCGTGAGAAAAACTGCATGGGCTTTTTTTGGCCAATCCTTTACTTAGTACTCTAATATAAATACTTAAATCCGTCTAATTGATTTGCAATCCTGAATATTGGTTTAGTAAACTTTAAAAAACAAATAAGGCCCTACAAATTGACGCTATGCGAGTTGAACGTACTTGTATAGTGGTATATCAGGTTCCCCTCCCTCCATGGACCGCAGGGTAAGACAGCACTGCTGCAGTTTGGACTTCGGGTCATTCCAGTCCTGGTTCATGATGAACTCTTGGAGCCGTGGGAACAGGCATGCGTTGCAGAACACTTGGCAGTAATCGAGATTCTGTTCACAAGTTTGTATTGAGGTTAATACGGATGTAACTTAAACTTGTTTTGTGACACTCGGCATTAAATTGATTCAAAAATATTTATTCGTCATAAGCTATAGTAGATATTTTTAATACACGGTGATAAATAAATTAATAGTAACCCTCATACTGCGTCTTAAGGCATTCGAACTAAGTAATTGTAAAGTTCTTAACTAATGTGGCCCTAGCGAAAAGTAAAAGTAAAAACATCAAGTAAAAAATGCCAACTTTACAAAGAAACGCGAAAACATTTAACGTTTAATATCAATGATTAAGCTTTAACTCCTTGCAAAGTTGGGTTTTTTTTCTAGTACCCCTATATGGACATTTTGTCGGAAATAAAAATTTGAATTTGAATTTTCACTAAAGCCACAGTATTATGTCTGAGATTAGTGAAGGAATTGTATTAATTACAAAAATATTGTCAATAAATATTTTGATTAATGTTATTAATTAAAAATATCAAGTTACTTATTTGTATTCAAATATTCATCTATAGAGTTGTGTTGGATTAACAAGGAATTCTAGTGGATTTCTTTTAAATGTCACAATATCTTTAATGCTATAATATCTTAAAAATCATCGGTTTTTCAAGAGGAAAGTGTTGAAGATATCACAACTTTTTTCCTTTTCTCTGTCGAACAATTGTCTTTTTGCAGATGTGACCTTATTACACCAAGAGTCCGGTACATACATGTCGATAAAATCCAACAAATTTACATGTTTAAAGATGTACTAGGATAACTAAATACCACACAATATCTTACAAAGTACACTACCAACAATAAAGCGTACAAATTATAACATGATAAAATTACTGCAAATAAATAAGTATAGTTATACCTTGTCAATATACAAAGCGCCAAGAAAAGCCTCGAGCAAGTCAGCCTTGTGTTTCTTCGTTGTCGGTTTAGCTTTGGGATTGTTATAAATGGCATATGCCGACATATTAAGGTCGTCACACACCATGGCCTGCGTACGTTTGTTGACTAGGGACGAGCGGAGGAGCTAGAAGGAAAAAATGGTAGATGTCAAATATAATGGGAGAAGATGTGATGTGCTAGACAACCACATCAATTACCTGGTGTCAAACTAGGGAATTAATACCCTGGACTATGAGTACCGAGCACAGAATTTGAATAAACAGGCACTAGAAGTGAAAACAACGCATATTTTCTTTTTCTTTTTCCTTGCGGAAAGGCAAAGGTCTATAGACTGAGCAGCCTAGTCTTTTTTAAATCCATTTCTAATCTCTTTTCTAGTTTCAAGCCTAAATCTCGTATTTTTTTAAGTATAACTTTTGTCTTGAATCGATTGATATAGTATTGTCCAATAAAATACTCTTCTTTGAAAACGGGTGTCGCCACGTTGTTGTCTATGGTCGACACTCGAAATTTTTTTTATTAAGAGTTTTGGCTTGAGTACAAGTCCTTTGAGCCATGACTTCGGGTTAGGGAAGGGTTAAAGTCATCATTATTAAAATGTACTGTATAATTCTGCTATAGCCTTTGCCGGTTGTCTTTAATATATCGGATATTCAGTTGTCTTTAACAACGACACAGTTAGGGAAACTAAAAACAAAAAATACTATATTTTTACGTACATTTCCTTGTAATTGTATAAGAAATACGTATGAAACGTAAATGATGCAATTCACTTCAACTTTGACACTTATTTAGATTTATCAGTTTTCTAAAACGTTTTATTATTTAAACACGTATAACAATGTTGATAAATTATCGATTATTATATCAATGGTAGATAAGACAAATACACACAATTTGTTGGTGCATGGTGCAAACCGTTGGGTCGGGTTACAAATGTGTTGTGTTTATGTTTGACCATTGTAATATAACTAGTGGAGTAATTTCACAAAAATAAACGAATATCGTGGTAGTAAAATATCATAATATTCATTACAATAAAGAAGTTACTACTTAAGCGGTTACAATACATTACTCACAGAAAGATGCCCCTCATGATGGTCAGGGAAATGGCGGTAAAGTCGATCGGAGACGACCAGTTGCAGTACTGTGTCTCCGAGGAACTCCAGCCGCTGATTGGAGCCGAGAGTGAGGTGGGTGAAGCCAACTGACCGGTCTGTGAAAGCGCGGGCCAGGAGACGGATATGTTTGAATTGAACGCCTGTCGGTAGAGGAAAACAGTGCAAAGATGATTTAGATTTATTTTTCAATTGCTTCGGTGTAACAATTGCGAATACCCAAGAACTCGATACTATATATTTTATTATACTAATGAATAGGATAAAATCTCTCGAATAAACTTTGGGTCTTACACTTAAAGATATACATGAAATCTTGTTAGTCTCTTTTCATGTCCCATTGGTTTTTTCCACTCTGTGTAGCTTTATTTCGCTCCGTCCTTTAATAACGTTCTATCACCACGACTTAAAGAAGACAAACTCACCAATAGACTCCTCAAACTCCGTAAGCTTCTGCAAAAACTCAAAGTCCTTGATGTACTTCCGATCGCCCAAAGGCTCTTGTTCTTGCAAGGGATGCGCGCGTTCCTTTGTCCACACGTCTAGGAGATCCGTCTCCTTGTACCATAATGCTAAAGAGAAAACACGGTCTGCTACCTGTAGTAAGTAGAAAGGAGATGACAAATATGAAGTGTATTATTGAGATTTTTGTGAATTAACTCCACTAGTTTTTATTATAATTATTAATGCAAAGATCGAACACAGAAAATTTCCTTCGACCCGATGGGACTTGAACCCGCAACCATACTGCACTGTAGTATTGCTCTTACCAATAAGTTACGGGTCAAAGACAATCAATCAAAGATCATTTATTCCATAGGTAAAATAAATTTACACTTGAAAACGTCACGTTTAACTTACTGCTCGTTCACTACGCTGACCTCCCTGAGAAGAACGAGCAAGAAACTCTAGGGACTCCTCTTTTCAAAATAAACTTAAATGCTATGGAATACACTTTGAATCAAATTTGTGTGGATTCTGGAGCCGTGTCGTCTTTCCATACATCTTTATCTAACACGTAGTCTTCAATTTTGTAATATGACTTTTCGATCAAAATATTTTTAATGTAGTTTTTAAACTTAGGAAATGATAAACTTAATATACGCTCCGGAATCTTATTGTGAAAACGTATACAGTTCCTCATAAAAGAGTTGTTTACCTTGGTTAAACGATATCGTAGTACCTTGAGTTTGGACTTAGCTCTAAGGATAATATTATAGATATCTTCTTTCTTATTGAAATTATGTATAATTTTACGGGCATATAAAATATTGGAGTAAATGTACTGTGCTGCCAAAGTCATGATACCAGTCTCCTTAAACTTTTCTCTGAGATAAACCCGAGAGCCTAGACGGTACACAGAACGAATCTCTCGTTTTTGCAATACAAATATGGTTTGAATATGCCGCTTTACCCCGCATGAGAAAAGTTATCGAGTCGTCGAAATTCTTCTGTGTTTTTTGTTAAAGATCTTTGTACTGTATTTTTCGGTATTCTGCGCCGCTAGTGATATCTAGTGATAGATTTTAGAACTTTCTTCACCGCAGCGCACCTTTACAGCCTCAACTGACATAGATATCGCTTTTTGATCAAATGTAATACTGAGATTTTTTGAAATAACTCCTTTAGTTTTTTATTATGATTATTAACAAACATCGAACACACACATATATATATCATCTAATCTGTATTTTGCAATGTTTAATGTAATATAATCATAATAGTAAAATCTAATGATAATTTAATATTGACATCTTAAACATGATATAACTTTAATATGATAAGACATTAATAGATTTAAATGTAATACTTTGAACTAATGACTTCCATAATTTGTAGTAGTTTACTTATAACTCGATAACATAACTCGTAGCCTAGTCGTAAGAGCGATGCTGCGGTGCAGTATGGTCGAAGAAAGTTTTTCTATGGTCCGAGCTTAAATGACGTCGTCGCCTGTTGGAACTTGTATAAATGTCGTGGTACTCACCTGCAGCCCGGCATCAAGGAACAGCGCGCCCATGAGGGCTTCGAAGCAGTTGGCCATGGCGTGTCGCATCACCACCTCCCGACACAGGTCGGACCCGTGCGCGTACAGCATGAACTGCTCCAGCTCGATGTTCTGCAAAGGAGAAGCACTCGTTTTTAACAGTATGTTTTAATAATTATTCCCTATGCAAGGCTGCAAAGTTGTTTAACGCGAGTGCTTGTATACCTGAGCATGCGAAGGCTGCAAAGATTGAAAGTCAAAAATAGAATCCTGAGTGTAGCGAGGGTTTCAAGCTGCGAGGCTCAAAACAACTGCTGCTGAGCGAAACACATTTCACCTCACTATAGCGAGGAAAATGGTAGATGAAAGAAAAACAGTTGAACTATAACAAATCATGTTTAATAAACAAAGGTATTTTACAAATCTGTAGGTGAGAGGTCCAGAATCTTAAGTGCGTTTAAAGCGTTTTCAAGAGAATGAGGCTTTTAATTGAGGCTATCAGCGCAAAAGTGGAGTAAACCATATTCAATTTTTTTTCTAAAATATTACTAAGACTTTGGAATGCACTTCCTATTACTGTTCACGAAAGTAAATCGCTATTTTTAATGTGAGAGTTAAAGAGCATTATTTATCTACTATTCCATCCATATCTTAGGTATTACATTATAAAATATGTATTTATCTAAGTATTTATATAATTTATAACAATTTAATATTATTTTTATTTTTTTTTCCTTGTTTTGTTGTGCACATATGCCCGTTCTTTTAGTTATAGTGTCCTGTATTTAGGTCTGCAGGAAGAAATTTCTATTAGAAATAAGCAGAACCTTTTGTTTTTAATTTCAAATAAGCAAAACCCTTTAATTTTTAATTTCTCTTGTTTTCTTTGTGACTTGTTGTATTTTTCCTGTACAATAAACTATTAAATAAAAAATAAATAAATAAAATAAATGACACTTAAGTAAGTACATAATTATTTTATATTTGGATGCTATTTTCATGTATAAAAAAATATTTCATCATCATCATATCAGCCGGGAGACTGCTAAACATAGGCCTCCCCAAAGATTTCCAGACCAGCCCATCGGACGCGAAGTGCATCCATCGGTTACTCGCCGCCCTTACCAGTTCGTCCGTCCATCTAGTATGGGGCCGTCCCACTGAACGCCTTCCAGTTCGTGGTGTCCATTCGAAAACCTTTCTGCCCCAACGGCCGTCAGTTCCACGAGCTATGTGCCCTGCCCACTGCCACTTTAACTTGCTAATCCTTCGAGCTATGTCGGTGACTTTCGTTCTTCTACGGATCTCCTAATTTCTGATTAGATCACGTAGAGAAATACCGAGGGTTGCTCGCTCCATAGCTCGTTGAGTGACTTGGAGCTTTTTTATGAGGTCCATAGTAAGTGACCACGTCTCAGAGTCGTAGGGCATCACAAAAAAATATTTATTTTTACTTTACCTTCGCTAACTGTGCCAAATGTTGATTCTGTACAATAGCAGCTCGATACGTGGCCAGGCCACCTTCAGCCAGCCCTGGGAACATCCGGAACAGATGTATGGAAGACAGGAACTCTACTACGGCGTCGCCGAGGAACTCTAAACGTTCGTTGTGTTTGATCTCGGATTCTGTTTCGCTGTGTTTGCCGAAGCGAGACATTATGTTTATTAAGGTCACGATGCCTGAAAAGAAAGGTTGAATTAGGTAATTGTAAAAAATCGTTTTTATGAGGTAAAAAAAACAATGAAAAACACAGTTTTTTTTATCTAAAAGTACGAATGTAAAAACTACACCACATCTTTTGTTAATATTATTCTTCAAACATCGACCCCTACTACGTAAAGTATCGTATGTCGAAATTGCCAACTTTAATTTTTTTTTATTTGCTAATGCTAAACATTTCTCAGTTTTATCGAGAATGAGTTTTAAAGTCACGAGCTTTGCCGAATAAAATCGGGAAATGCTAAAGTCACGTGTTATGTTCATTTCAGTGAAATCAGAACTTTCAAACGCTCCCCTGTAAACTTGGCAATTTCGACATACGATAACTAACTACGTAAAGACGTAGGAGGGGTCGACATGTAAATTGCTCCAAATAAATGGGTCACACTCACTAGCGTTTATAACAACGGACGGAAAATTCTCCAATAAAAAAAAATCACCAGTCATTGTTTAATTTATAATTTGATTGAATTGAGCGCAGTGCTACAAACTCTTCGTTGTTTTTGAGTGTAGACGAACACGTCATGCGCCTGGTAGTAAGCGACACGCCTACCCAAAACAGTTGCAGTGCTACTCAGAGCTTTAAATTGTAAAGATCTGAGGGGCACTTTGCTCCAGCACCAGTCACCCTGAGGCTTCAAGTTGCAAAGTGTCATGTCTGTAGCATCACCAGTACCTTTAGTCTTCGAAATCAAAACGCAGTAATGCTTACATTACAGCTTGGCGACAGAAATACCTATGATGGCAGTACCGCCTTAGACGAACTCTTTAACAAGGATCTCTACTGTTCCTAAAGTGACACGACTTGTTATTTTTAACTGACTTCAAAAAAGGAGAAAGTGCTCAATTCGATTGTCTTTTCTTTTTCTCTTTTTTGTTGGAAAGAGGGTACCTCAGTATTGGTCCCATTTACATTTGAAGACAATATTCCACTTCTAAGGGTGACAAACTAGGGGAACTAAACTGAATCCGGTATCGTGGTAACCGATTTCAATAAGATTTGGCAAATAGATATAATTCCACAAACTTTTGAGGTCTTTTTTTTTTATAAAAAATTTATAATGATATTGATAATTTTTTTATATTAGAGAACATCACATACGTTGCTGATACCAAAGTTTCTTTCTTTAGTTACTTAACTAAAGCACTTGTGTTATGGAAATCGGAAACAACGACAATACCACAAACACCCAGACCCGAGACAATATAGAAAAGTAGTTTTCTACACTGACCCGACCGGGAATCGAACACGGGACCTGACATGGTGACACCATGAAAACTGGTGTGCAAGCCACTTGACCACAGAGGCCTTCACAAATTGTGTATTAAAATGAGCAGTTTCAATCTCGCCAAAGAAATTGGAAGTTGATGACAGGATGAATTTCGTCCAATAAGTTCAACTTTTTGAAAAGTTGTACCTAGTTGAACTTATTGGATTATTTGTGTCCGATTAGTTCAACTGATTGAACTTATAGTTGAACTTAGTGAAATGGACCAATAATAAGCTTACCTTTCTTCCTTGTATAATGTATCCTCCGATCACCATATTCAGGTTGCCTGATACCACAATTAGTGAGACTGTTCCTAGCGTGGTCCGGGTTCGTGCCAAAATTCTCCCTATAAGAGGGATGCGTCAACGCAGTTTGTAGTAACAACCGTTGTTTGAATACGTAGCCAATTTTGCGCTCCAGGCTATCTAATAGTTTGTGGAATCGAAGATGGCGGACTAAGACGGGGATTAGCATTGCGTGCTGTAAGGAAAAGAAAAGATTTTAAAAGTTATTAATTAATTTCTGCAACATTATTAGCTTCGACACTGTAGTGCCTCAGGGCTGTTCGCGGAGTTTTCAGGCGGTTTTCAGGCAGTCATTTGCAAGAGAGTGGCATCCCTGTTGGCCAGAGAGATTCTTAAGGTGGTAGCAGAGAGGATGGACAGCCCAATACTTAAGCATTGGTTGTCCATCCTTATTCATGAAAATGAACACTTTGCTATCTACTAACATAGTCGTAAGTACCTACTAGCACCATATGGACTTGTAACTGTCTGAAATAAATTGTTTCATTTCGTTTCATTAAAAATTACATTTAAACTTGACAACCCCGGCAGTTAAATTAATTAAAAATAAAAGGTAAAGAAAAAAAACTTAACTTAAATGCATGCATGAGCCAAGTGTAGGCATTGAAGTGCTGAACAGACGGGAGTTGACTTATTATCTAATTATTTATTATTATACTTGACTTATTATCTTAATATGGGGATAAAAACTAAAAAGTCAAAGTAATTTTATTAAACATTTTTGAGATATGTCACTAATCTAGAAAGCCATCGATATGCTATTGCGCGATGGGCACAACCTGTGTAGTTTTCTATACTAAATCGTTTTACCTGAACAACATCACACATAAGACCGGTGGTGTGAAATCCTTCCGAAGAAATCGCGACCGTGACGTCTCGTTTCATTTTACTCTGTGTCCGCATCTCTTGTAGCTTGGCTTCTTTGGCTGCTAGCTTCTGTCTGTCCTTGAACGAGGGCTTTGCCATGTTTGCTATGAGGTGGCGGTATTTTACGTAGTAACGCCATGCTTTTTGGTACCTGAGATGTACATGAAGTCTATGTATTATCTGGTCATCACATTAAACAGAAATTATAATTATTAAACAAAGATCGAATTTAACCAACAGCGGAGCTGCTGTAAGGGTGCTGGTGTAATTGCAGGCACATGGGCCTTGTCAACTTATGTCTCAGGGTGACAGGCGCAGTGGCAGTACCCCTCAGATCTCTGAGATTTAAAGCTCTGAGTGGCACTTCAAATTCGATCTGACTGGATTTCAACCAACGTCTCCTAGCAAACCGTGCCAGACGCTATGTCAACTAAGACACGGACCAAACCAACGGACCTCACGACTTTTTCCATGTGTTTGTTGCAGATCTTTGTTTTGGTTTTTAATATCTTTTTCGTCGCAGCGCCATCTATGGGAAATCTGTGAAAGTTTTTCTTCACTCAGCGAGGTACCTTTAGAGCTACCAGCCAATGTAGAGGTGTCTTTGCAATTGTAATTGCAATTAAGTTTTACATCCTGATTTTCAATAAAACTTAATGACAAAATAGGCTTAAAAATATATGACACCAATATGCTTAAATAGTTTATTTTTAACGGACTTGTATAAGATCGTTCTCATGCCACATGTACACTGCCGCATATGTAATCTTTAAGCATACTAAAGTTTTGTGTGGTCAGTAGTAATTTTTTTTTAAGGAATTTAGTTAAAACCCTATTATTATTAGTGGAAATGACTGACGACCTCGGCGGTCCAGTGATTAGCACATGGACGCGTAATGAGATCCAGCATTCGATTAAATAACAAATAAGTAACTGTCCTACACGGTAGGACTAAATTAAGTAACAAATTTAGTAGCAGTAGGCTCCTTGTGAAAGAGTTCGTCCAGGGAAGTACTGCCACCTTACCTATTTCTGTCGCTGCCCTGCTTACCTATTATTGCGTTCCGGTTTTGAAGGATAAGGGCGCTGGTGAAATTACAGGCAAGTGGGACTTGTCAACTTATGACTCAGGGTGACGGGAGCAGTGGCAGTGTCCCTCTGATCTTTGCGATTTAAAGCTCTGAGTGACACTGTAACTGTTATGAACAGGCGTGTAGCTTACAATAAGGCGCATGACTTGTTCATCCCGTCACTTAATATTAAATATAAAAAACTTTTCCAAGTTTGTTTTGTCGTTACTTTGTTACTTACAGTAAATTCCCTAA